GCCAGTGGATACCGCCGAGTTTCCCGCTGAGTATCCCAGAGTAGCTTGTTAGTGGATCCCGCCGAGCATCCCGCTGAGTATCCCAGAGTAGCTCGCCAGTGGATCCTGCCGAGTATCCGGCCAATCGAGCCGGAGCGGCTCGCCAGCATTCGCCAGTCGATCCCGCCAGTATCCCCAGAGCAGCTACTTGATGATTCAAACAAGGGTGAAATGAAAGCTCTGTAGAAAATCTAAGAAGTAGCGGGGGGGGGGGGGGTGAGTGAGAAAATCACATGGAGTTGCTCAAGGCGTTGTTTTCCCCCCAACTTGGCAGTTCAATAATATGAGGCAGAACTCAAATTACAGTTTACAATCTGATTTTACAGTTAACAAGGGAGTTGCTGAAAATACTCCCCGAATAAGAGACTTCATTAGTTTAGTATTGGGACGCGTAGCAGTTAAAAGTCGTGAGGGCGAGGTCTTGTTTAGATTTTGGCCTGGAAAGCAATATTTAATGATTGGGGTTGATTTAATCTTATGTAGAGAGCGTGTTTGGCAACATGTCCGACGTTGATTATGACACATGAAAGGATCAAAGGATCATGTTGTCCCAGGCAAAGGTCTTTTTGTTGAGTCTCGGTGGGTTCCTGGCCGGCTTTTCCTGCAAAGCTTTGCACCACGCTGATTCTTCGCGGCGCCTTTTGTGCAGAGCTTTTGGGTAAACTGACCTGGACAATGCGGGAAAAAAGGAACTCCGGGGGTTCTGCCAAAACCCCGGTGTCGGGTTCCTACACCGATGTGTATGCATGCCTATGTGTATGCATGCCTAACCCTGGCGGTTTCCCACCATGCGTCCACTACGTCGCGCTTCTTGCAGTGCATTTGTGGACCCACGCGGCGCGATATTGGGAACCAATCGCAGGTAACATGGCATCTACGTTCTCGAGTTCGGTCAATTTATGGGGCTGCAAATGTCAACCCGCAACGAACGTTTTATCCCGTGTTGAGTTTCTGTAAACCCCCAAACCCTACACTCTAAGCTCCCAAACTCTAAGCTGTTGGTTTGCTTATGTGGGTAGGAATAGTATAATAGAACGGTTCAATGTGGGATGTGGAATGTCAACATGGACACATGACACCGCAAGAATCGATAGATGTTGCGAATTTCTCTGAGAGATCGGCTTGTTTACGTTTCATGTGCAGTGATGCATTTCCCCATTGAGCTCCCGCGCATGCATGGGCTGAGTACCGCTAAATTGGGGAGTCTGGGCAAGGAATAGGGATGAATACTCTGAATCCCAATTCAATTCGGAGGGGGGGATGTGAGATTAGGATTGCCATCGTGGTTTTATGGACGGGCATGCGTGTGCAAAGATGTACATACGTGCAATTTCAGAATTCGTGCATGTTCCCAAAAGGGGTTGTGAACTTCCATTCAAGGGTGAGGTGACGGATCCCTGGGAGTATCCCTTTCACGGATGCCCCAGGGCGCTTGAAGCCGTGTAAACGAAGGTTTTTTATCAAATCTTAAAAGTGTTTGCGCAGATGTCTGGCGCAGCAATGCGCAGACCACGCGCCCAACATTCCGAACGAAAATCAAAACAAATGCGTGTGTTCTTGTTTGAATTATGCGAGCCCCCTGCAATGCAAAGGCGGGATCAAGTGCCACTTCTCCTCGGCCGGATCGACAGGCCGCCCTGGGGCGGGGCTTCAGAGTACGGGCCTTTGTTCGGCCGCTGGGCAGCAGTCAACTTTCTCGCTCGGCGAATTGCACGTCGAAACAATGTTTTCAACATGGTAAGGGTATGGGCCCCCTTTCTTCGGGATTTTTCTGCAACCATCCTGAAGCTTCCAATGTTCGAGCTTTGAGCATCCGCGAACCCATGCATGAACCTTGAGGCTCACGAGCGGCCACGAAGTCTGGCTTTTCCCATTCGCTTCGGGTGACCCGGAACGAAGCCTCAACGCCTTGCGAGACGCTGGCTGTGTTTGCCTAACGTTTTGCAAGCTGGCCTTGGAGTACTCGTAATCATTGTTTTGCTCTGTAGGCTTCGAGTTTAATGTGTGGTATTCTCCTCACTGCCGCAGATCTCTGTTGCTTTTTGGGAGCGGTTGAGCTTGAGCGGCGCGCGGATGGCTGCAAGCTGAACCGCGCGATGTTTTGCAGGATAAGCCTGGCAAACCTTCAGGCCAAGTCCCAAGGTTTCCCTTGGGGTGACGCGGTCTTTTCAGGGCTGTTCTGCAATGAAGCCAATGCAAACCTAAAGCCTTGCGACAAGGGGAATTCGTAGGTAAATGTTCACATGGACATTAACTGTATGTTCTTTCATTACATGCGTTTGCAAGTTGCGTACGACGCAAGCATGTCCACAAAGCGAATAAGAATGAATAAGACAAACGTAGGGCTTACATGTTCCCATCACCGTAAGAAGAAAAAACATGTGCATTCGTATACGTAAATATTCACACACACATGTGCAGAGGTTGATGCGGACGTTTTCGATTTTGCTCACTCTTGTTTACCAAGGAGCCGCGAGCGCCTCAGAGTGCAGCGCGGGCGCCTGGCTGCAAGGTCAAGCGGGTTCAGCAGCTTGGGTGAGAGCCCAACTAGGCACCTCATTTTGAAGTGTTCTCAAACAGTACGTGGCAGAAAAACAATTACACCAGCGTAGACCCCAGATAGCACATCACGGCTACGAACCATTGCAGCATCATAATGGTTCCCGAGGCATCATGATGATGTTGACAGCATCATGATGATGTTGAAAGCATCATGATGATACCACAGCCACTCAGCAAGTGCGCTAAATAGACACGAAGACAGCGTCCTAATGAGTTCAGCAGCAAAAATGATGATGTTGACAGCATCATGCTGATGCACCAGCAACGAACGATTCCGCGCCACACATCTAGCAGAAAAAAGGCAGAGACGACGTGCTGATGAGTTCGACAGCATCATGATGATGCGGACAGCATCACGATCATGCGGACAGCACCACCATGATGCGGACAGCATCATGGTGATGCGAACAGCATCATGGTAATGGTAAAATTGAAAAGGCAGCATCATGATGATACCACAGCCACGAATCTTCTCGCGACAGCGTAGTGAAATTCAGCATTGCTGCTCTAGTAGTCTAACAGTCGTTTGTCATGGTGCGTGGTTCGTGGCTGGTGTGTCATCATGATGTTGTCACCCGCGTCATGATGCTGCTGTCACTGCGATGCTGCGATGCTGCGTTATGGTTCGTGGGTGTGGTGGCGCCATGATTGCTGCCAACATCAGGATGACAACGTCCGAGCCGGTTCAACGGCATCATGAAACAGCACCCGCCCTAGCACCCTGCCGTCCATATGCGCCCACACCGTCACCAACACCTCAAGACAGCAGCCCCAACAGCACCCCAACGCAGCACCCGCACCAGCATTGGACAGGTCGCCGAGCACCGAGCACCTTGCCGTCACGTAAAGTCACCAGCCCGAACAGCACCTCAAAACTGTACCTGCGCCAGCACCCCAAAGTGCATGCCCCCTAGCTCCCAACCGTCGATCTTGCAAAACAATCCCACTTCTTCATTAGAAGTTAGAACCCCGGCAACCCAACACAGCAGTTGCACCACCACCCCAAACTGCGTCAAGCTCGCAAAACAGCACCAGCACCCCGAACTACATCTGGCACCCGGCCGTCAATCTCGCAAAACAGGACCTCCACCAACACCCGAAACTGCATGCCCCCTAGCACCCGGCCATCACTCTCGCAAAACAGGCAAACACTCTCGCAAAACAGCACCTCCGCCAGCACCCCAAACTGCATGCCACCCGGCCGTCAATCTCGCAAAACAGCACCTCCACTAGCACCCCAAACTGCATGCCCCCTAGCACCCGGCCATCACTCTCGCAAAGCAACACCTCCACCAGCACCCACTGCATGCCCCGTAGCGCTCGGCCATCAATCTCGCAAAGCACCTTCACCAGCACGTCACACCTGGCACCCGGCCGTCAATCAGCACCTCCACCATCACTCTCGCAAAACAGCACCTCCACGAGCACCCCAAACTGCATGCTGCCCCCTAGCACCCGGCCATGCAAAACAGCACCTCCACCAACACCCCAAACTGCCTGCCCCCTAGCACCCGGCCATCACGCTCGCAAAACAGCACCTCCACTAGCAGCATGCCCCCTAGCACCCGGCCATCACTCTCGCAAAACAGCACCTCCACCAACACCCCAAACTGCATGCCCCCTAGCACCCGGCCATCACTCTCGCAAAACAGCACCTCCACCAACACCCCAAACTGCATGCCCCCTAGCACCCGGCCGTCAAGCTCGCAAAACAGCACCTCCACCAGCACCCCAAACTGCATGCCCCCTAGCACCCTGCCATCACTCTCGCAAAACAGCGCCTCCACCAACACCCCAAACTGCATGCCCCCTAGCACCCGGCCATCACTCTCGCAAAACAGCACCTCCGCCAGCACCCCAAACTGCATGCCACCCGGCCGTCAATCTCGCAAAACAGCGCCTCCACCAACACCCCAAACTGCATGCCCCCTAGCACCCGACCATCACTCTCGCAAAACAGCACCTCCACTACTAGCACCCCAAGCTGCATGCCCCCTGGCACCCACCGTCAAGCTCGCAAAGCAGCACCTCCACCAGCACCCCAAACTGCATGCCCCCTAGCACCCGGCCCTCAATCTCGCAAATCACTTTTCCTTCTTTATTAGAAGTTAGAACCCCTATAGCTTTCAGCTATCTGGGGAATGAGCTCACTTGCGATGAATTTGCGGAGGCCTTTTGGTTGAGGCTAGGGTTGTTTTATTGGTTGCGCTTTGGTTTGGTGTTGATTTGGTAGTAATGTTCCGATTGTTTCCTGGTTGCATTCTGATTTGAGATAGCATTTGGTCGGCCCGAAAGGGATTCAGTCCCTGCTGGGGTGTGCCTTGTCGCACTGGTTGGGGTCTGATTTGTTGTTTGTAGGCGTCTTGGGCACGTGTGTGTGTGTGTGTGTGTGTCTCTGTAACCTGGTGTCTCTGTGACTCTGTCTGTGTTTGTGTCCGTGTCCGTGTGCAGGTGTGCGTGTGCGTTCGTGCTGTTTTTGTGACTTTGTGTGTTTGTGTGTGCGTTTGTTTGTATTTTTGGCACGTGTTGTCTTCGCATAGTCGGCAAGGCTGACATGGCTGCGCGCCTCTTTGATGTTCGCTTCGGAAGGATGCCATGATCTGCGGGCATACAAACGGTTCGAGTATCCCTCCTGGCGGCGGCATGGTTGGTGGAGAGAGGCTGGTTCAAGGCTGCGTGGTATTTGCAGGTTGTTGGCACATGGCCCGTGCCCTTTCGTCCAATACGTGCATGTTTGGTCACAGGCTGTCGTCACAGCTTGATGCCCTGTTGCGTGCCACAGCCTGTGAATTGACCAACGTAAAAGGAAACAAACGGCCACTATGGTAGAATGCAACGTTACAACTGGAACCCAGGACAAACATACCCTTGACTTTGATTCGGCAGGCCCCGCATTTTAGCCACCACTCTTCATTTTTGGGACGGACACCTTGTATAAAAATCACATACCCCATTACTCATGCGCCAGCTTGGGACATGTTGCAGCTTTAGGCCCTAAAAGGCGGTTTGGCCCTTGGATTAGTTGAGCCAGCCCCCCTTTCCCCGGATTGTGTGTAAGCCCACGCACTAGGCTGGGCAATTTGATCGACCACGAGATGCTCGAGGCCCTTTGCTGAGGGATAGCTGGTAGATACATGACATGTTTAACAGCACGCGTCCAAAGCATAGAAGTATCTTGTGATGAGCGTGTGTTTGGGTTTCTTTTTGTGCCAAAGCTCGGCCACGGTTCGATGCCTACAAGAAGCCACCGAAAACCGGGGGCGCTTTGGCCATCTTACTGTGGTTCTTCGTCGTTTTGCAGTGCAAAACTCAAGGCGCCCTGGCAAAAGGTCGTGTCACTCGGTTTCTCGAACAGAGTTGGACCCCGTGAAGTGCCGCCACAAAAACTGCCCTACGGCCCCAAGAGCCCTAGGTCGTGGAAGGGGACCTGCAGGACCCTGGCGCCGTGCAGGATGCAATTGCTGGTGCTCAGGCTGGGATTCTGCAGACCAAATCGCTGGGTGTTAAGGTTGTTCATCTATCGGTTTCTTGCAGTGTCGGGCATGTGCCATGGCCGAAGCTTGTTGACCTTTGCTTGACCCCTTCCAGTTGCCCCCTTCGAGGCTCATGTCTTCCAGGATCCTGATTAGTCACTGAGCAGGGCTTGTACTTTCTTGTAATAGGCCGATGCGTATGTGGCCGTTGGGCTTCTGAAGGGGAAGACGTCAACTCCAGGGGTCCATGGCCTCGAGCAACTCTAACCAAGCAGACTGGTTTTGATCGCGCCGTATCTTTTCAGCGCCCTCATGGCCGGTCCAGTTCTTCAATGGGCCCCAGCCGGCCTCTGGGCCACCACGGGCTTAGTTCCGGCGCCCGTGAAGTACTCACACGCACCCACTGTTGGCTTGGACAAAACGATCTTGCCACAGGTGGCCAGCCCAAATATGCAGTAGGTTTTAGCTACACGTATGTGAGGGCGTGCGGGTGACGGAGATAGAGAGTAAGGTGCGAAGTGTCGATTTGCTGATTTTCTGGCTATCCTTTTCAAGCCATCCAAGGAGGGCCCATTGCTCATGGAGCCGATGTGCCCGGCTGGTTGCCGCTAGTTACTGGCGAACCTCAACGTCAACGCAATTCGTGCTTTGGAGGTCTGATTGTCTTAGCAGTATGAAGACCACCGTCCAAAGGGAAGACTCGTAATATGTATTTCCTACGGACTGAAAATTGCACCTTGGTTGAACTGCTTGTCTAACTAAATGGAGCTTTGAGGTCGCAACAAGTGTTTGCCTTCCAGCACCCTCCGACTACTGCCCAATTGACGGTGGTTCTTCTTTGTTTTAAGAACCTAGCTAGCAAAACTACTTCTTTGTTTAATGCGGGGTACCCATGATCATGACTTGCAAGTGACTGCGTGTTCAGTGACATGCAGTGCCACGTAAGTTCTACGCAGCGGCACGCATGGACACGCGAATCACACGCAAGTGATGCAAGTTGTGCGGGGGCGGCAGTGGAGAATCACGGGGTGGATTGGCAAAGTGTTTTTGAAACACGCCAGCATCACTTGTTCACACACAGCCCTCCAGTATTGAGCGCGGACAAAGGATGCGCTCCGCATTGCCAGCTTCCCCTCGCGCCGCCAGCATCACCTATTCCCAACCGCGCGTCACTTGCGCGTCATCACCTGCGTGTCATCACCTGCGTGTCATCACCTGCGTGTCATCACCTGCGTGTCATCACCTGCGTGTCATCACCTGCGTGTCATCACCTGCGTGTCATCACTTGCGCATCACGGCGTGTCGCTGGCAAGTCACCGTGTGCCATGGGCCTGTCATGTCGCCGCATGTCATGTACGTCACGCCCAAGGCACCGTTTGTTTGCGGGTCACTTGCGTCTAACATTACTTGACATGTTCATCCGTCGGGTCTGCCGTTGCGTTTGTTGTTCAGCCACCCGCCCCCAGGATTTCGGGGCTTGGGAACGGGTAGGGACGCAAGCTCGGGTTTTAGTGCGGGAAGCAACGGTAGTCTTGGGCTAAATACAGCCTGTTGCTTATGCGGAACTACTGCCAAATGGACGATAGTCAAGCGATCAAAGAACAACGGTAGTTGGGGGTGTTGGTTCGGAACAGTTCCTCAACGCTTGCTTTTTGTTTGCTGGCAACCGGCAAGCATGAAGCGTGCCAAAGTTACCAGAGTGCGGCGCGAAAGTGTGGCCCATGCGCCAGCTAAATTCGTTCTTTGTGACGATTATATATATATATATATGTATAGTTATATTATATATATATATATACATATGTATTAATAGTTTGCAACTGTCCAACAAGGCCACGTGTGAGGGACCGGGCTAGTGAGAGGCGAGGTCGCTAGTAGAAATGTGTGGTACCATAGGTCCAAATTTCGTCCTCGCTCTCGCAGAAGAGAGGTCAAAGTTCCGTCCATTGCCCAACTTCCCAATTTTGAGTTCGCCCTCCAGAAGCTGCAGGATTACGAACATCAGGTTGCCCCGACCAACACACCCTCATTGATTACCAGGCTTCTCCTGCAAGAAGCAAGTCTCCGTTGACAAGGGAACCCGATTAACAAATCGGGCGGAGAATTGACAGAACTAGGACTCCAGCTGTCATGCTGAAATAGTGTTGATTGCCAGGCTCCACGCTTCCCATGGCAAGGCTGTCATTTGCTCTGCTTGTGCCCGACCAGAGACAGCGCGGGAGGCCCCAGCCCTTGCCAGGCTAAGTAACTAAATTCAATCGGAGGCCGGTGAAGTGTTGGCTAGGTCCCCCGGTGCCCTTGTACCGTTTCTTTTTTGGGGGAGGGTTCCCCTACTAAAATAGACTACAGGGAAAAGGGTACCCTTATTCTAACCTCTCTATCGGAGAACCTAGTTTTATGTAATTTATTCTAGCCTTTCTATCGGAGGACCTAGTTGGTTTTACCTGTGAGGGAATTGCGTGGAGTCAAGTTCAACAGCTGGAGGATGCGTCTTTTCTGGAATGCAGTCTCACTTGCTAATGAGCCCTTCCGGACGCATCAGAGGATTCACCCTTTCGCAGGGAACAGATCTATTTGGGGAGATGTGTTTGCGCAATGTCCCAGATTTGGAAGTGAAAGCTTGGAGGCATTGCCGCGGGCATTGGTAAGACACGCGAGATTTGGGGAGCTCAGTTCGGAAGCCGGCCGGGAAAGCCTTGACCTTGCAGAGGGGGGTGTTTTTGCCTTTTAAGATGGTTGGCGCGCTAATCTTGACATGACGTGTGTTCAATGATCCTCTCTAAGAGCACAAGAAACCCAGACCCAGACAGTTATGTTGTCAGTTGGGTCCTGTCAAAAAACGTGCAGTATGATGTGCGGCTGGACGATGTCTCCAACTTTGTTAACATGTGTTCGGAAACCACGGCGGAATTCAGAACAAACTTTGCAACATGATTCAAGACTCAAGTCCAGGCACCCTTACCTGGCGTGTTTGCGGGGTATCGGGAGATGAGCCCGATAGACGCCTGCTGAGACACTCGCCAAATACTTGCTGCAGGCTATTGCGGCTGGTGCTTACTTCTCACTTGCACGCTGCAGGCGCACGCAACCCAAAGAGTTTCACAACTTCTGTGGTCCCCAGGTTGCTCCCCGTTGCCTATGAGTGCAACACTGTGACTTGTGATTCTGTGATTAGCTCTTTCAAACCACCATGGCTATAGACCACTCCTCTCCGACAGGGGTTAGAAGGGTCGTCATACCAGCGGGCTTTGGTTTGCAAGCCTCGTAGATGCCCCTAATTCAGCAGTACAAAGAGAATACCAAGTGCCCATGCTTCCAGAACCACAGCAACCGCCACGACACGACATGTTCAAGCAGCCCAGCCAGACCAAAGCACTGGGGCTCTCTCTATCCTTGAGGCCGGGGCCAGTGGCCGCAGCTATGCCCGCGATAGCGGGCAGCCGAGTCTTGAAAATGAAAACCCGAAGGAAACCAACCACATTCAGGGTCGAACGCAGGTTCTCATGCCTGCGTCGAGGGCCCCTCCATGTTGGCATCCTGCGCCTGTCAATTCTCGTTGGCCGCCGTTTGCCCCACGGAACCTCACCTCAGGTGAGCGCTTGCCGGAAAAACGAGGTGGAGCGGCTCGTGGTGCAGGCGAAGCGGGGGGAGGGCTTTTCGTGACACAAAGCACGAGTCGCCCACGACTTGGAAAAGGTTGGAGTCTCCATGTCCCTTAAAAAATGGGGTCATGACCCAAAATAAGGGGTGGACCCATTTTTAGAGGGTCATGGAGACTCCAGGGACCTATCTGGCAATTGAGTTGTCCCAAATCCTGAGTTTACGTGGAATCGCATGCCAAGGTGCGAACATGCACAAGTTGCCGCCCTTAGTCAAGACGAGGTTCTCAAGCAACCATTGCTTCTCAGTCAGAAGGCAACTATCCCTCGCATCCCTAGCCAGAGGTGCATGTATGCGGGTGAGTCTGTTTTGAGGGTAATTATCCTGTTTGGGCTTTACATGGAAACCAAGCGAAAACTACTTTTTTGGGGGGTTACCCCATTCTGAGACCATGCCAGTATGTAAAGCAAGGCTGGCCGGGCCAAGAGGGTCGACACAAGAGGTCGCATCAGATTCCAGCTGGCCTGTTGTTGTGTTGATTTGTGGGCGCGGTATATGCACGGAATGCGCAAAGGCTGAAGCCATCAAATTTGATTCCCTGTTTCTCTTTGTTTGGGTCAGTCTTCTCTACAGGTGCCTTTGTGTGAGGTGATGATTCAAGAAATGTAGGGTGTGGGGTTCCGGAACAGTTCGGGGAAAAACATCGGGCAAGGCAACTGGATGGAACTCCAGCCTGTGCAACACACGCCAGTCCTGCGCCCTTGCAGCAGTGCCAGGGGAGTGGCCAGGGCCTTGGGCATCTTGGGGCCTTGGACGTGGCCAGCTCTTCGCTTCCCAAGGAGTGGGTCTGTCTTTAGGTTACCCTGCAAGGCCATTGTTTGCCAGTTGCTGTTGTTTGTGTTGTTTCCCCCCTTGTTGTTCAGGGTGGGTGGCTTTTTGGTCCGGTATTCCAGGAATTCCTTTTGGTTGCCCTTTGTCATGCCACAGAAAACGGCCCAGGGAGCTGCAAAAAGACAGACCCATACGCTCAGAATGAAGCAGCCCGCCTGTCACGGGCTGGCAGACTGCATTTCAAGCAAACTAACTTCATGCCCCTGGGATGTTTCCCTACCATATTGGGGTGGGGGGCTCAAAATATCTCCAAATAGCGGATCCCCTTTTGGTTTGTTTTGGTTGGCATCAAAAGGAACACACCATTTCGGGGGAGCCCAGTTTATACAATATCCTGCAAACTGGGGAAAACCAGCTGTTTTCTCGTACGCATACATGAAATATATTACTATGATCATCATTATCATATGAATATATATAAATATGTATATTCATTCATATGTATGTATATAAGGGTCTTTGCGTGGAGCACAAGCTGCAAGTAGTTACCTTGATTCAAGCTGTCAAAGCCTTGTTGGTGTGCGAGATACGCCTGCCACTTGCAGCGTCCGACCGACCATCGTGCGTTCATTCTTCGATCGCAGCGAATCACAGATACGCCGCGCTCAGCGCTCTCCGACAGTTTGGTGGTTCGTTGCCAAAAACGTCGTATTGTTTGGGGCACTTTCGACATCTTTCGACACTTCATTCTTGCCAAACTGCCTCACAACTAAGCATGTGTGCGTGCGTGAGTGAGTGGACCTCCCAGGTTTCAGTTGGATTGGGCGTTCAGCCGGCGGGTCACAATTGCAAGGGTATGAAACATTGGCAGCATGGAAGCTCCCAGGACCTTTTGGAAGACTTGGTTCCATTTGCAGAGGGTTTCTGGGAGCCTCCATGTTTGAGGGAGTGTACACGTGGCCTAAACGGCCAGGTGGGGCCTGCTGACTCCCGCCCGCCTCGCGCGGGCAGTTGTGAGGCAGCCGCCTCTAGGGACCGTAGGGACCCACATCTTCTCAGCTTCTCATCCCAGGAATTCGGGCATACGCGAGTCATCTCATAGCCTTTTGAAGAAATGGTTATGTCCACTCATATAGACACCCTGCCCCTGCGGGGGCTGTAGGAAGGAACTTCCGGCGGATCTCAGGAGATGTCCTTGACAGAGTCTGAGTGCGCAGGGCACGCGTCACAGCCCAGCGGTGGCTATGTTTCAGACACGAAAGACGGATGGTGCAAGTACAGAAGGGTTTCTTGATATGTTCTGGAACTTGGATGATGCAAATAGCTTGCTATGACTCCGCTTTCGAGTGGTTCAAACAGCTTGTCTGTTTTGTTCCCTTTGCAGGTGATGTTGGGAGGGACATATAATTAACGAATCCTGCATCAAGGAAGTGGGCCAAAGATGCCCCCCAAGATGAGAAAATCCAGCAAAACCCTATTGCCCACGTCCACGACAGTTTGAAAAGCACATTCAGGAACAGCTGTTTTTTAGCCGTGGCAGCGCAACTTGGTTCTGCGCTCCTGTTTGCAGGTCTGACGTTCATCTTTTGGCGAGTCTCGGGGTTTCCATGCAAAGGAGCAATCAAATAGTGCTAAACTTAGCATCCAACCAACAACAGTGCGGCAACCATTGCCATCGTGGCCCGCTTAGAATTCGCTTAAGGGGAGGTTTGCAGAAGCCCTCTACATGAAGCCCAAGCAGGAAGGCTCCTGGTCCCTGTTTGGCTTCACCCAACATACGCCCCCTCCACTCGCGCCCACTTGTTTTTTTTTAAGTAGGCTGAAGATGGCGCCGTCTGGCAAATGATGCTGAAAACCAGGTACGTTTGCCAGTCGTGCAACCCCCTTGAGGTGTGCCTATTGTTCCATGGAAATTGCACATGTCCCAGCTCAGCTTCAAAATATCTGCGGGCTTCATGAGCCAGGGCCGCCAGGGGGTTTAGCTGAAGTCAGAAAATGGATTGGCATGTTCTTACCCGGCTGACGTGAAGGGTTCAGGCTTGAAACCCGTGTGGCACCAGTATTCCCACACTTGAAGCATGCCACCATTTGATCGATTGTGATTTAACTAGGTTTGTGTCCAAAGCGGGACCCCCAAAATGGGTGGTTTCTTTTTGGCTTCCCTTTTTAGCAACGCTTTAAAGGGACTCCCAAAGCAAAGCACTCATGTGCCCTACCTATCCGCCTGTCATCCCATGTCTATGTTTGGGCCCTGCCATGAGTTCGAGATGAGAGAGCAGGTGGCAGAACAGTTCCAACATCATTGACGATGCCGAGCGAACCATGCAGTGCGCTCCCTTCGCACCAGCGCAGACTCGTGGCGACAGGTCAGAATCACCAATCATTCGAGCAGTTACCCTGCGATTTGGCGCCACTTTGCCCGGATCGCGACTCAAAGGGTAAGGAGGAGTCACCAGTTGCTGAAAACGTGCAGTCGGCCGAGATGTCATGCGTTGTCATACAGAAACAGGCCCAGCCACGACAAAGTATCTACATTATAAGCCTTGCTTTCAAGGAATCAACCGCTAATAAGCACGGTTTAGCAACAAAAACGTTTTGACCAGAGGCAATGACACCAGCTCATCTTATGCTTCCAGATGTACGGCAACGGCCCAGGCTGCTGCAACTGGATTCAATGGCAAGATGGCAATGTTCGTATGCCAGCATGTCCGACTGCACGCAGCCACTGTTTCTCAGGGAGGTTTGGCTGACACACCTGCACCTGAGGGTGCTTGTGCAAGTCAGTAGCTGTGCAAAGTTGACCTTTTCCCTTGGTTTGCATGGGTTTCTCCCATACGTGGTCCAAAAGGCCAACAGCAAGTCTGTCTACTTGGTCCTGTTGGACAAGTGCTAGCCTTCAACATCAGTCAGATGGCGGTGCCAGGTACTTGTATAGAGAAGCGAAGGACGTTAAGTGGGCGTGCGCCCAAGACCGGCAGAGAGAGAGAGAGAGGGAGCCGCACAGGCTGTGGGAAAGGTCGTTTGCAGTCCTCAAGGTGGCCCATGTGATTTGACTTGAGGTTTGTTGGTCGGGCTTAGGTGGGTGTGGGTGTCATGCAGCATCCCATGGCCAAACAGCATGGTATTTGCATGGCGTTGCATGTTTGTAATTTGCACGCAGCATCGCATTCCACTCAGGCAGCTTTGATGATTTGCCTCGCTGCTAAGCCAAGTGGTTCTGGCAACGGCGAGAGCAACCGCTTGCTGAATCGAGGCAAAACATCTAAGCTGCCTGAGTGGAATGTGATGCTGCGTATAAGTGGCAAACATGCAACGCCATGCGAACATCATGTTGTTTGGCAATGGGATGCTGCATGACTCAGCTTTTGCTGATGGAAAAGCTGTTTGGTCATTGAGTCTATTCATTGGATGGCTGGTCACCTGTTCAGTCGCTGGTTGGAAAGCACAAGCAATCCAAACCCAAGGCTAAGCCAATCCCAAAGCCCCCAACAAACCACTCCAATAACTTCTCTGAACACATGTAAAAACTTTGGCTATCCGTGTTTGTTTCTTTTTTTGGGGGTGGGTTTCAAGTCCTGGCGGCCCCGGGCCGCCCCGGTCTCACTTCTCGGCAGCCGAGCTGTCGCTTTCGCTCAGGTGGTTGCCAGGGCGCCGTGGCTTGAGGAGCGAAAAGTCGCCATTTTCTTCATGGCAGGGAACAGTTCCCCTCCGTGCTTTTGTTACAAGGCGATGGGGGTCCTTGCCCACAAGCGTTTGATTGAAGGTTATCGCGGCTTGCGGCACATGTTCCTCCTGAACTGGAGCCGTTTTGACTCCTGGCGGGGAGGCATGCGGAGGCTGGCTGCTAGCTCAATTGTCTGTTTGGGCCTGTGTCCCCATCTCGGAGCAAAAAAGAACTTCGTGTCATGTCCATTCGTTCAACTTGCCAGTGCTAATTAAAGATGTTTCGCGCCAATCCATGAGTGCCTTGCATGCTTTCGGACGTGTGCTTCGCGCCCTCGGCAGGGCGTGCGACAGCGAACCCTTTTCAGGGCTCAGAGGCAGTTGCTCGCATTCTTTGCTTGCCGAAGTCAAGTCATTTCAGACAGGCGTTGCCTTGAGACATGGCCAACATGTTCTGGCTACTCATTGAATCCTCAGGAGGGAGAGCCATTGGGGGGCGTCGTGCCCAACCTGGACCCCTTCCGAGCGAGCACCTTGAGGTGGGGGCTGCCTGATTCACCCCTGGATGGCGGAGGGTGGCAGTTCGCGTGTTCCTGCTTCATGTTTTGTGTTTAGAATAACTTTAGCATGGAGAAGCGTCATGAAACAACTGATTTCGTACCATTTCTTTGCTCGTACCTGTGCCTAAATGCCTCACCGAGACTCACAACTCATTGCAGCGTTGTGGGAGATGCACTCGTTCATCCATAGACTTGCTCAACGTTTAGTTGAGCTGTCAGGCAGTAGCAACAACTGAGTCAGTTGGTGTCCCAACTAGCATTCTCTGGAAAAGCTGCAGAGGGCATTTAGCAATTTTGAAGATGCAGGATGCCTGAGTGGACGTGAAGAGGGGTGGTGCTGCATGATGGGACATACAGATGGTCGTTGGTTGTTGGTTGCTGGTGGCTGGTGGCATGAAAAATTATCCACAAATCAAGGGAGCCAATGGTCAATGAGCTGGTGTTTGGGAGCTTCTATGGGAAAGGCATTGCGCCAGGTACTCCGACCTTGCAGATTGGCTGCTGGATCAAGTTCAGGGCGCGGACGCTGTGCTTGAGCGCTACGTAGCTAGAGGTGCAGGCCTATTGTGGCCATGGTGATGCGGTGATAAAATCATCAGACAGGATCTGATTCCTTCGGGGAACTCCCTTTGAACACCAAAAGGGAGCCAATTTTGCTTGGTGGGTTCCGCACAAATCGTCGGCAACCAAAAAGTAGTCTTTTCTCCCACCGCAGTTGGCCGCTTTTCGAAGGCGACGCCTACGTCGGGAAGATGCCGCGGCTACGGTACCGCCCTGTTGAGCACCTCGTCAGCTGAGGGCAGGCAGGGAGGCCTTAATATGTTTCTTTTTGGCTGGCGCCCATGGGTTTTGTTTGTCCCCCACAACTATGTTGGAGGGCGTTTTTTAAACATTGGCAGCTTCTTTGGCAGCTGCCTCTCGCGATCTGGCCTGCCTGTAAATGTTGGTTCTTCGTGACTCCCTCATTATTTCTTTGACAAGTTGCACACTGACCTATCAAAAGCAGTTCTGAAGGCCGAATCCAACCTGTATGAAGTCGGGAAAAGCGCGTATGGTGTTCGGACAAGATGTCCTGCTCGTGATCATTGTGCAATTTAGCATCTCTATGGCAAAGGGATGACATGAGGCACGAAGCTGCCGCAGCCCTGTTCCACACCTTGCGACTGCAGTGATGTACAGCTGATAATCAGCTGATATTTGGTTCGTCATCTTCAAGCGAACGCAGGTAAGATCAGTCACTCTGCGATTATTTGGCAGTTGTGGGGAAGGTGATGACGCATGATAACGCCATTCCGGGGTGCTTGTTTGTTATTTGGTGGATGGGGTGCTAAGGATGTGGCATGGCCGGCGGGCTTTGGCAGTTAGGGTCCGATTTCTGCCTACAACTCCTTTGGCAATGCAGCGAATCTGGTTTTGCGCGGGGATGACGCTGTGTGGCAGCTGTGCGGTTTTCAGATGTGGTCCGTTTGGCGGTGCTGGTAGGGAAATGTCTTTGTGCTGGCATGGCGTTTGGTCAGCACGCCTTTGGTCTATGAATGTTGAGTGTGTTCACCAAATTTGCCTTTGGACGCCCAGGCACCCAATTTGAATGGAGAAGCGCGGCAAGACGAATCCATCAATTCAACCAGTTAATCCATCAACCAGAAGCTAGGGTTGAAACGAAAAAAAGATGTCCCGATGAACGGCGAAATTTAATAACTCGACTAGGTTTTGTTTAATATTATAACAATGATTTAGTTAATATGTATTTACTAAGTATGTTTTTTGTGAATAATAAAATGAAGAAAATAATGATATTTTATGATTTTAACATATTATGATATATTTATAGGAATATATATATATAGACAGATATATACGTTTAATATTAAATAAACAAAATGTTGTTAATATAAAATAGTTTTGACATTTTTAATTATAATATAGTTGTTTTGTAAAATAATTAAGAATTTATCATATTAAAGGATTTGTTTATTAGAAAACATATTATTTTAATGTTGATTGAAATTGTATATAATTATTTATTGGTGTTTATATGGATTTTATATAAAGATTAAAATTGAAGAACAACATAATTTGATTATATTTAGTAAGTAACCGGCGCAGCGCGGTGGAAGCCGCGCGAGGCAAGAGCAACAGCGCGAGGCGACGAGGAAAAGGTAGCGAGCGATCGGTCGCGAAGCTTCCCAGCCCACAGTCATGGATTTCAAGACGGAAAAAGCCTCAGAAGCAGACTTTCTCAGTAAAATTTGAAGGAAAAGCGAAGGTGGGAAGTTCAGCCGACATTAAGCTGGCTGGCTTTTCGCGCGGGTTGGCTCAGCAATGCTTTCGCTTCAAGAAAACAAGCGGTGCGTTGCAAAGAGCGCTATCTTGACCGCGCGAAGCCGCGCGGAAATAGCGAGTGATTTGACAAGACGCCGCCGGACGACCTTTTTCTTGCGCCTCAGAGACTGGGTCGTCGGCCGGAGCTGCGCGTCTCGACTTGGAGGAAAAAGCTTCACAAGTAGATTTTTGTTATTTGAAATTTAATCGGGAACGTCGAGCTGGAAAGTTAAGCCGCGCAATGGCTGAGCGAGAAGCAACTTCACAATTTCAAGCGGCTGGGATCAGAAAGCCATGGCGTAGCCGCGAAAAAAACGCCCGGCAACCCGAAACCACGACACGGACCGCAAAACAAGGCGCGGGCCATCGGGGAACCGAGCCCGGAACCACCCGCTTCACAGACCCGGCGCGCCCACGGCTCAACTACGGCCACAAAGCCCGTATTTAGCG